CTCAGCTATAAAGATGGTAACAAGTGTAGAAGTCGATCTGCACTAGGCAATCAGTTAAAATACCCAAATGGTCAAGACCTCATCCAATTTTGAAGCTTGGTACCATTTACTCTATGAGCTTTCTCCTCTAAAACCCTAACCTAGATTCACCTACTATTTTGACTACTTCCTTATCAAGAATCTGACTTAGACATCCGAGGGGACTTGGTGGACAACTCAGCATCACCAATCTGATAATTTTTCTACGTATCTCAGACTGTTATCAATGAGAGATCGCCATCAAACATCAAAGTAGATCACTGACCCTCATCGTTGAGTCCAATCTTACAGACTCAATCCTTTAAGTTGATCTCAGCATCAACAGTTTGTGTCCACCGTGGGACCTCAGTTTGATCAACTTTGAATGATGTTTGGCCAATGACAAATCATCTGAGCCTAACATAAGCCTAGGAGGAACTCTAACCTAAGCACAAATGGATCCAACATTACAACATGTTGGGAGGCTAATTGAAATCATAATCAATGATGTGGTCGAGAGAATCTGGAATCCACACATGGAGAATGAGCGTTGATCTGACGTTGAGACCATAGAACTAGAGACATCAACCCCGACCGAGGAATGACTTCAAGAATGATCAAAAGGGATGCTTCAAGTACCCCGTTTCACTTCAAACAAGAGAAGATGGAGATTCTATGAGCATACCTCAAATGCTTAAGAGCATGATGCCTGGAAGTCCATGACCTGCACATCACTATGGCTAGAATCACATCGGGGTTGCAAAATTAGGACTTTAAAGTTATCCTACTGGAGAACCACCCACAATCTTTAGCCAAAATTATGAACCGGCTCAAGGAATCATAGAACAAAATGGCCAAGCACTACGGATCGTAAATATGATAGCAGGATGCCTTGCGGCGGGGAGGTTATGACCAATTCTAGTAAGAGATATGCACGAAACAGCCAAGAGGTTAAATGGACTGAGAAAGGTCACAACTCAACGAAATGATATCATTCGCAAATAAGGATCTTGAAGGAGTAATGACTCCTCATGACGGTGCAATCGCCATCTCAACCAAAATCTCTGACCTAATCGTGAAATGGATTATTATCAATATGGGAAGCTCGACTGACATCCTCTATGTTGATGCTTTCAAGCGAATGAATATCAACAAGGGGAGGCTCTAGTCCTATCCCTCACCCATACTCGGATTTAAAGGACCCATGATGAAATCAAAAGTCATTGTCACTTTGCTAATGGTTATAGGGCAATACCCTCAAAGAGTTTCTATAATGGTCGAATTCTTGATGATGGATATTAAGTTATCCTATAATGCAATCTTAGGGAGGACGTCACTCAACAATCTAAGAGTAATCGTATCGACTTTCCATCAAATGACAAATTTCAACTCTCCATAGGGCTAGGAAGGTTCGTAGCAATCAAGGTCAAGCCAGATCATGTTCCTCAACGAAAGCAGGGAAATAGCCAAAAGCTTGCCCATTATTGAAACCCTTCCAAATGACGATTCTAGGGATGATAGGATGACCCAATCAAAGCTTTGGACGTAGATAATGAGAAAAAAGTGCTGGTGGACTTAGAGTTTTCTCGCCCATTGAGAAGTGAAATAATCACCTTCCCCCATTAAATGCTGACATCTTCACATAGGGATCAGCAAACATGCAGGGCATCCCCAACTGTCATGGCCACAAGTTGAATGTGGACAAGCACTCGAAACCAGTTAGGTAGAGAAAGAGGCACCTCGGAGCAAAAAAGCAACAAACAGCAACTGAGGAAGTAGACCGCCTCCTCGAGGCTCGGTTCTTCAATGAAGTGCAATACTTAGACTAGCTATCAAACACAGAAAAAATCCAGCAGGAAGTGGTGCATATGTCTAAACTTCACCAACTTTAAACAAAGCATGTCTTAATGATAGCTATCCACTTCCACTCATCGACCAACTTATCGAGGGAAGCTCTGGGCAAGAAATGTCGAGCATCATGGACGCCTTCTTTGATAAAACTAGATTAAGATGCATGAGAACTTATTGTTATAAGGTAATGTCTTTTCAGCTTGAAACATGTTGGGGTAGCCTATAAAGGCTGATTAACAAAATCTTCAAAAAGCAGATCAGGAAGAATGTCGAGGCTTTCATCACAACATTCTTGTAAAGTCAAAGTGAAGTACAACCCATGTCAGAAAACTCAGGTAACTACCACAACAACTTCGGCCATTAGGATGGTGACATGTCTGATCTACCTTAGGCAATCATTATAGATACCCCCTACCTAAGGTAAACAGACAATACCTTATACAATTGCAATGCTTGATACTGTTAACATTTAATTTATGATCTTTCTCCTCTAAAATCCCTACCTAGATTTACCTACTATTATGAATACTTCATTATTAAGAGTCTGACTTTGGCATCGGAGGGAGTTGATGGGCAACCCACCATCATCAATCTGACGCTTTTGCTATGTATCTCAGGTCGTCATGGGAGAGCTCACCATTATACATCAAATGAGATCACCAAGTCCTCATCGTTGAGTCCAATCTTATAGAGTCAATCCTGTAAGTTGTTCTCAACATCAACACTTGTGCGAGGGAGTGTATTCTTTTTTATTTGGAATATTAGAAAAAGAGATATTATAGAAAAGCGATTAGTGGTTAAGCCATCTAATTTAATTTTTAAATTTTGATATAAAAATTATCGACATTCTTATTTTGTATTTCTTTAGAAGAAGGGAAAAAAGAAAAAACTCCGGCTCAAGTTATATACTTTTTAAAAGAGTAACAACCAAAGAAAAATTTCAGTATAATTTAATTTTTAAAGGCAAGATCACAATAAAGAAATAACTCATAAAATTTTTTCAGGTGTACAAATCAAAGAAACCAAACTAACCTGTATGACCATGTGAGCACGGACATCACGCTTGCATGAATGCCATGAGAAATAAGTGATGAGGGCATCTACTCCTCTATACTTAAAAGAGAATCCAAAGAATTAATGTTCATGCTATAGAAAATGCTACAGTAAATATTGTAGCATGGATAGCAAATCAAATCTGGTCCTTTGCACTCAAATTTACTGTTCATGCTACATTAATTTACTGTATTATAAACAATAAATCAAATATGTTTCTCCATACTTGAAGTTACTGTTTATGCTATAATAATTCATTGCATCATAAAATAGTAAAGTAAATCAAATGTATTAAAACTTGGATCATTCTTTAAGTACAAAGCAGTAGATATGATTTCTAAATCAAATGTATCAAAACTTGGATCCTTCTTTAAGTATAGATGAGTAGATATAATTTTTAATTTTAAGCGTATAATATTTAAATTAAATATATTAAAATTTAGAGGAATGCAAGGTTTAAAAAACAAAAGGGCCGCGCTATGCACGGGAGTGTAAGTAATACTTGGGTGTAAGGGTGTTATCGGAGCGGATACAGTTCAGATATGACACTTACCATATCCATATCCGCTTTTTAAAAACGGATACATATACGGATTATCTTCGATAAGAAAAAATCTTAACCATATCCACACTCATTGGACATAGATACGGTTCGGATATTTAGAGAATCGGATCGGATACGATCACGGATATGAAATGGATATTTGACAAAGCTTGTCGATGACACTTATAATCACAAATTGACAAAGCAAATCTAACACATCAAGGCAAATTTTAAGTAGAATATGACACTTATAATCACAAATTGACAAAGCAAATATATGTAAAACCAAGTTCTCTAGGCTCTGGATCAAACGCACACACAGAATCACCTAAATTTATGCTCAAAACACATTTTCAGCCAAACTCTTAGTTTACATTCCAATAAACTAAACATGATCAATTTCCACCAATTTGTTGTCTCCCGAACTTTAGTAAGAGAACTTGGTAATCATTCAGTTCATCATTCACATTGCTTAAATCTAAAAAATTCTTTAATGGAAGTGTCTACAACAGAACCATTGGTTAACATTAACCTGTAGGTAATCAGCCTGATAAAATACCAAATCTTTCTATTTTCTACTTACCTTGAAGCTTGTCGATGACACATAGGAACTGATTGTAAACGCAGGCGGGGGTGATCTGGATGTGGCGAGCGACCTGGCCGAGATGACGCGCCGACGCGGGATCTGACGAAGCGATGCGTATCCGACACGACGACGCGGGATCTAACGACGTCGACGAACTGGCCGCGACGACGCGGACGACGGGCCGGGATACTCGGGACCTCGGTTGTAGAAATTGAGTGGGAGGCTGGAGTCCAGTGGAGTCTAGGGTTTTGTAACTTTGTTACTTTTTTAGTTGGGTTTTGGGTTAGCGGTTACGGGTTTGGAACTTTGATACGACCCGAATCCTTGTGGTTATTAAATTGCGGATATCCGTATCCGCAACCTTCATATCCGTATCCGATTCCGTATACAATAAAATTCAAAACCGGATCCGTATTCGAAACCGTATCCGCCCGATTTTAAAAATAACTTACCATATACGCATCCGTTCAGATACGGATGCGGTCGCGGTTCGGATAAATCCGAACCGTTTGCCACCCCTTCTTGGTGAAACTGTGACGCATCTAAAGTCCTACTTAGGCACTGTTTGGCAACCAAAAAAAGTGTCTTATCTAAGAGCTTGTGTCTTATTGACTTGGTCAATAAGCTAGTAGAGCTGTTTGGTGACCAAAAATAGGAGGAGATTATTTTGGAGATTGTGTCTTTTGCAAGTAGCTTTTGGAAAGCTATCTCAAGTAGCGTTTGTCTTTGGGAAGGAGCTGCCAATTTTTTTCTTCCGTTTTTGCCCCTAATAATTCTAATTTTATATCAATAATATTGCATGTATTTTTTAGTCATTTAATAAATTTAAGCTAGTTGTACAGCTATTTTTACCAAACAACTCTAGTCAATCAGCTAGCTACACAACTAACAGCTTTTAGCTACAATTTCACAGCTTTCCGCTATAATCTCATAGCTCAGCTAGTTTTGCAGCCGAAGCAAAACCCCCTCATCATCATCTACAGGACTGAGTCAGGACGGAACAAACGAGAGAGAGAGAGATCGAGAGCGATGAGAAGCTCCTCTCCTCCATCTTCATCATCCTCCACCCTCCCCCTCTCCGCAGCAGCGCCGTCAATGGATCCCTCAAACACACAAGCAAACCCTTCTCCTCTGTTCCTACTATCCTTCAGCCGCCAACCTCGTCGCGGTACGCGCGACCTCTCCTCCACTTCGCGCTCACGCCTCTCCCTGCCCCTCCCCGCCCCCTTCGCCTCGCTCCTGCGGGCCCGCCCCCAATCCGGTGCCGCCCTTCACCTATGCCCTGGCGGCCACGACAACGTGGCGCCAAATGGCGGGGACATGGTGTACAACGTCAGAGCACTCTGCCAGGAGTTTGTTTTTTGGTGTCTGACCCAGGCCGACGGGCGCAGAAGTACCGAGTGTTGGTCTGCGTGCTTTCGCAAAGGAGAGCCCAGGCGCTGTGTGCGTGCTCAGGTCCTGGGACAATCCTCTCTGTTTTAGGGTTTAGGTGGATCCCGCTTGAACATCGAAAATCTTCTAAAGCTTGTCTCATCGTGGAAACTGGGGAAATTTTGGATTGTTTTCTTCTTTTTTTTGAAAGGGTTGTGTTTTGTGCATTTAGGATTGGGGTTTTAGGGTTTGGGGCCTTGGGTTTTGGATTTCAGGTTTCGATTCTTTGAATTGTAGGGGAAGTGAATGGATATTTTTTATGGTTTTTTTTTTCGTTTGTGCACTGAGAATTTGGGTTGCAGGTTCGGCTGAGGAAGCCGGCGCTGGGGAAGGGGGCCAGAGTTGTGCCCATTACTCTTGATCAGGTTTTCTCCCCACCTCCTAATTACTCTTGGATTGACTGTAGAAATTGGATATTGGTTCCTATCTGTTCTCTTGACGAAATTATGGGAATGATTACATGTAACCAGCTAATTGGGGCTTAAAGGTTTGAGGAGTTTGAAATTGCTAATTTCATTCATCATCAAGCATTCTGCTGGAAGATGCCAATGTATGATCGAGTGGGTCGAAGACCATGGATCATTTAGATCTAGCTATGTGTTGTGTTGGCTATTGTCTATCTAGTGCAATCCTACTTTATCCTGGCTTGTGATATCTAGTGAAAGGATAAACTTTAGATCACAGGTAGACTCAACCCCGCACAAAAAGAGGCAATTTTACTTTCCCCTTCTTCTAACAAGATGGAAGATATCTTATTCTTAACATGCGGAGATAACTAAATGTTATAATATGATTGCCGACTCTAAGTGCTATTTGTTTGAAGAAATATTGATTGTGGTGTGTCCGTGCAAGCGAGGGATCTTTGTTATGGGTATTGCATTCTACTCTGGAAACTAAGTGTTCCTTCCTTTTGCTTCGTGCAAAAGATTAGAAATTCAGAATTAGTTTTGAATGCAATAGAAACTGATTGAACTCCATGCTTCCATAGGTAGAATGAAGAAATATGATTTTCTTAGTATGAGATAATTTATCACTCACACACACACACACACACACACACACACACGTAGAGGTTAATGGACACAAACACAGGCACACACACATCCCCCAATCGCTTGGTTGAGATTGAGCTGCATAACTGCATACGAGGGAATCCCCTCATATGTCAAAAGAGGCCCAGTATTCACACACGTGCACGCACACACTCTTAAGTCAATAATATTTTCAAATTTACCCTAAAAATCTAGATATTTGTAAATTTACCCCCAAATATCCCACATTGGTTTTTTCTGCCACTCAATTTTCAATATCACTAATGTACCCGTGATTAAGTTAATTAATTTAATTTTATGAATTTATAAAATTAGATAGAGAGGAGTTTTTTTTTCTTTATGGGGGGGCGGGGGTGGTTAACTTAGCAACTTAGCGAGTATCTCTTTGCTATCTGTCTAATTATAAATTAATTAAATAAATGATTAGTCAGGGATATATTTGTGAAATTTGAAAATTGAGGGGTAGAGAAAAGTAATTTGAGAGATTTGGGAAGGAATTCAGTAAATATCTAGCTTTTTGGAGGGTAAAATTGCAAATACGTTGGGTTTATGTTTATATAAGCAGATAAACCGTTAACAGTGTACCAAGTTAGAAGATTGAAGGGAGAAGAAGTAGAGCTTTTCTATCAAGAGAAATTATAGCTTTCACTTATGTAGGACTTCACTATCAAGAATCCTTTCATTCCTTTTGTTTATGGGTTTGAACATATTTTCCCCTCTTTCATGACAGCATCCTATGTGCGTTCTGAACCGAGTTTGAAATTTTATTATTGCCTTGTTTTTTTGCTTATGGTATTGTTATTTTCTTTTATTTGTTAATAATTTGGATTGTTGTCTTGTAGGTTTATATGTTGAAGGTTGAAGGAATTGCATTTCGGTTTTTGCCTGATCCTATTCAAATAAAGAATGCATTACAGGTTTCGTCCTTGACGCCTATGATGCATTGTTTGTATATCCTTCTCTGTTTACATTAACAGATTGCTTGAATTCATACTTTTTCTTTTATGCTGGAACTAGCAGCTTTTCTGATTAGCGACAGTTCAATTGTTTTATCATATACCTTCATGTGTATGGAAATATATTGCAGCTAGAGGTTATTTTATAAAAGAAGATCGATTAACTAACATCCACATATTGTTGCACAGAAACTTGATAGGCTTCATCCTTCTCTAATAATTACAACTGCAAGTCTGCAACAAGCTTTGAAGTGTGACTTATGTTTTTGTATATATAGAGTCAGTTTTCGGACCAGCTGCAAAAAAATAAGCGACATGTTTCACAACTACACTCACAGTGCAACCCAGAAAACAAAAGTCAAGAAGTAGATATCTTGCCTACACTTATGGACAATCGTATTTCACTGTATAACTTGGCTTTTTAATTTAATGCCTATGAAATTGAAGGACACAGGTAATGATATCAAAGGATACATGCACTTGTTGAGTGCTTCATTAGTGCTTGATTAGTTGGCGATCGCTGTCTTGTGTGGTATAGATGCATTTCAATTATCAAGATAAGATACCATATGACAAGCATATCCCATTGTTAAGTAAACAAAATTCATTCTTCCACCATGTTATCTTTTAATTTACTGCTTTAACTAGAGGTTATATAGCCACTTGTGAGAGTTGAAATTCTTCACTTGATATAATGTCTTTATTATTTTTATTGTTTATTACTAAGTATTTAGATTCTTTTTTGTCAGCTAGCTGACAGCCAATTTTTTTTCTCAGTTAAAAGCCGCAGATAATTCACAAGGCTTTGATGGAGTTCCAGTTTTCCAGGTAATTTGATTATGCTACGTTAAGATGTAAACAGTTTCCTGTGTTTTCTCGATAAATGCAAACAATCTTGGACTGGCACCTAGCTTATGTGAAAAAGATAGCTGGCAAGCATTACAAGTGAAAAACTTCAAATTTCAGTTATCTTCCAAATAGATCCTATTCATTAAACTGCGGAAACTACCATAAACTTTGGGTGGTTTTCCACAAAACTACTATTAAATTTTTTTATTTGAGAAAACTACCTTGAACTTTCAACTGCATAAAAATACCATGAACTATTTGAAATTGTTGCCAACGACACTAACAGCTCGAATAAAAAGTCTCAACTACCCTTGAAAATAGGAGAAAGGGAGAGGGAGTAATTAAAAAGGAGGGGCATAATTGTCCAAAATATGTCACGTGCTCAGACAACTTACTGTAGATGCTGCCTGTCATGATAGCTTAGTAAAAATTTTGTGATAGTTTTCTCTAAATACATAGTTTTGTGAAAAAACCACAAAAAACTTGGTGAAATTTACCCTTAAACTAGTGCCAGTTCCTTGTACATATTTTTACTGCAGAAACAATAATCTTAACCGAGTGTTACTTACTGCTAAGGTGTTAAGTTTAATGCATCTTTTATTAACTAGTGCCAGTGAAGGATTTACGTAGCTTACAAGATTTACTTAGTTAACCCATAGTAGAGTTGGCTAAAATTTACAGCTAAGGTTATTGCTTATGGACCTTAATGCAGTGTCACTAGATAACATTGTGAAACAATTTTATAAATTTTTAATTATCCTTTTCTGATGTTTAATGCAGTCAGATCTTTTAGTCATTAAGAAGAAGAACAAGCGTTACTGCCCTATATATTTTCAGAAGGTACATCTGCTATCACAACAATTCTGAAGGATTAGTAATTTGTAACCTCTAATTCACAGAAGTTATTTTCACAGGAAGATATAGAAAGAGAACTTTCAAAGGTTTCTAGGTCGTCCAGAGCAGTAGGATCTTCTCATATTATGGTACCTTTCGCATATTTGTCACAGAACTTCCTAATAAAAATTATTTACTTCCTGGCTGAGTTCATTATTTGACAGGTGGGTAGTTTAGAAGATGTGCTGAAGAAAATGGAGGTGAGGCACAATTAGCAAGTTATTATAAGTTCGACATCAGATTCATGATCAGATAGTTAACTCGAGCTCGACATATTTGCAGATGAACAAGAAGAATTCTGGGTGGGAGGATTTGATCTTTATTCCTCCTGGTAGAAGTTACACCCAACACATTAATGAAGTGGCTGCTTGATGCTAATAAGGTTACTCGAAGAGCTTCTATGACTTAGCAGGTCAGTCTCGGTAACATCTTGTAATATTAAATTTGATATTTGTCTTTTAACTTTGAACTTTAACCGGCAGAAACAAGTGTCTCTATGGGATGATGGAGCAAGGCTGTTACGGGTCATTTTTGGTGAATTGGTCAAAGTAGGTAGAAGAGATAGCGAGGAGATTTACTCACAGAGAAAAGACTGGGAAGGGAAAAGACTGAGAAAGGAAGAAATGCCACCAGAGATTTAGAGGGGGTGGAACTTGCTGAAAATTATGATACTTTTTTTTTTGCTATATATGAACAAACCATTTTTGAACCTCTCTTTCTTTCTTATGTTTCCCTTCTGATTACCATATGCAATATTTTTTTCATGTTTTTTTATTGTCTCTTTGTATGTATGAAAGTGCAATTTGAGAGTTTCTTTTTGCCCTCGTCCTTTTGCTTTCTGCTCATTTACCTCTCAGAGGTTTTCAACATTCTAGTGGGAAGAAGAAGAAGAAGAAGAAAGGCAATCAAATTCGAGAACAGAAATCCTTTGATTTGATCCGACTCCAACTTCATAGAAATTCATTGATAACATGCTGATCGATGGGGAGATGAAGGTAAAAATTACATTCTCGCTGCAATTTGGTAAGTTAATCTCTGATGACAAGCTGCAATGAGATCCTGAAATGTTGTTGGAAAGCTGGAGGAAACTCTTCTGCAACCTTTTGTGCGATAGACGCAGATAAGAAATTTGTACGGAGTACAAAATTGCATCCCAAATTCTCTTATCTTTGACAAATTTGTAGTCTTGGTTGAGCCTGTTTCGTTTTAATTTTTTGATTCTCTTTGGTAAAGACGTTTGTTTTGGTTCATGCTAATCTTGTAAGCCCTCAAGCAGCTGGTGGTAGAAGAGTTGAAGTATATATCTGATGCCATACCAATTTTTCGAGATTGATCAAGAATCTCTTGGTTATCACCATCTTGTTTGTGGTTAAATTTCCCATCGATGTACATCTCCATCTAGCTCATGCTCACAGGACTTGGTTAAGCTCTTCTTTAGTAAAGACTTGACCACGTTTTCCTTGAAAATATATTGGTTCTGAGATCAGATGTCTCCTTTATTCCATCTCTCTTCCCGATTCCAAAATATGAAGAACAACTCACTCACTTAGGCAGTTGACCAAGAACACTAGTGAAGAGATCAAAAGAATCTTCTTGCCGCTTAAAATTTGAGATATAACTTTTGTTATCAATTGAAGGGCTAGTTGCAGATCCTTATTTTCATGTCTATGGTTGCAAAACAAAGAGAGGTATCAACACATGAGCAATGGTATCTCGCGTGAGCTATAGAGTGCCTGATGGAGGAGGGTCAGAGGCTTCATAGTTTTTAGGTGTTGTATGTTGGCATGGCAATCTTGTGTAGAACCGGTTAAAGATTCTCTCTGCTGTTCAGGTCCACGGCGCTGCAAGAACGATAGGTCTTGCGGTAGATGATCTCTTGATATGACATCGATCCAACTCAATGCAAACCAAGCTCGAAAAATGAGAAAACGGTTAAAGATGTTTACATAGCTAGATAGATTTTCGCAAGAGGGCATACCACAACACTCCCAAGAGAACTCCAGCTATGGCAATACAGTATGACAACATCAGTTTACTAAAATAAAGGAAAGAACAAATCATCGATCAAGTTCGCCCCTCGCCTCTGAAGACATGCACATCAAAAGTACCATCGACAAGAAACAGACAAAGAAAAACAAGTCGTATCCCCTTCCTACTCTGTGCAATATGAACTTTGAGGATTTTTTTTCCCTTTCAATGGGATAGTACACACTTCAAAGGACATAATGCATGTTCCTTCAAGAATCAACTTATTACACCCGAGAAGGGCTCAATGATGATTCTAATTCATAAATTTGAATGCATTGGTAGGATGTTTTTTTTTCCCCTTAGGACCTTAATACAATTTCCTCGAGCTCTTACAGTTTCTTCAATATAACAAAACTTGAAACAAAAATTTCCTGTGTCAGCTGCACCGATGTTCTATGCACTACCTGAAATAGAATCAAAGTAAGACAAGTCCAAATAAATCAATTAGCAGAATATACACAAATGAAAGTTTGCAACAAATGTCGGAAGAAATAGCAGAAACTATTAAATAACATCTTAGTGTGAAGATTCGATAATAGTACAAGCGGGTGGTGTTCTCATAGTCTCCAAATGAAGTAGGGCAATTTTGACACCAACTGTAAGTCTGTAATATTATCCCACACTTCCCACTTCCAAGTAAAATAAACCAGTGAGTTCTGACTTCTGAGACACCTCCTCGATACGAAGTACCATAATCCCTGGTGGCAGGGGTCAGTTTAAAATTTAAAATTTTGCTCTTGTTCCTCCAAATAAAAACTAGATATTAAAGTCTGGAACATATTTCTCCATGTGGTGTACATGTACACATGTCTGCTGTGTATCTGGGTATGAACATGTGTGGGTGTAGTAGAGTTCATTATTATGTGTGTTGTGTTATGTCCCTGCACACTAAGGGCTTGCTGGGTACATGGGTAAAAGAGTTTTTTTTTTTGGTGTGTGGGTGTGGGTGTGGGTGG